TCCCTGGGACCAGGGGATGCTCTTCCCAAGGGAGATGCTCTCCCCAGGGCTGAGGGATGTCCTTCCTAAAGCCCAGGGTTGCTCTCCTCAAGGCTGGGACATGCATTCCTCCAGGGATGCTCTCCCAGGGCCAAGGGATGCTCTTCCTAAGGCTGAAGGATGCATTCCTCCAGGGATGCCCTCCCTGGGGCCAGGGGATGCTCTTCCTAAGGCTGAAGGATGCATTCCTCCAGGGATGCTCTCCCTAAAGCCTAGAGATGCTCTCCCTCAGGCTGGGACATGCATTCCCCCAGGGATGCCCTCCCTAAGCTCCAGGGATGTTCTCTTCAAGGCTGGGACATGCATTTCCCCAGGGATGTCCTCCCCAAGGCCCAGGGATGCTTTCCCCAAAGCTGGGACATGCATTCCCCCCGGGCTGCCCTTCCCAAGGAGCTTTCTCTCCCCAAAGCTCCATCTCCTGGGGGTGTTGGCAGCTGGGTCCCCCCCAGAGGTGCCACAGAGCAGCAGGGCCGGGGGGAGGTTGGAGACAGCCCCATTTCCCTTCCTGGTGCCAGCCCTGCCATGGCCACGCTGCCCCTGCACCCCTGGGCTGCCCCCCACCCTCGCCCACGCTTCTGGCTGCACCTCGCCCTGCACATCTGGAGATCCAGCTGCTCACCAGGACATCTCTGCACCGTGCCCTGACCCCTCCAGCGTCACACGGACACTGGGACCTCCTCTGGGCACCTCAGGGGGACAAAGGCTCCACTCTGCGTGCCACCCCAGAGTGCCAAGGGCTCCACACTGGGTGCCACTCCAGGGTAACAAAGACTCCACTGGAATGTGACACTCTGGGTGCCACAGGCTCCACTCTGGTGCCACTCTGGGGTGCCAAAAGCTCCCCTCTGGGTGTCCCTCCAGGGGGCCACAGGCTCCACTCTGGGGTGCCACAGGCTCCACCCAGGGTGCCAAAGGCTCTGCTCTGGGTGCCAAAGGCTCCACTAGAGGGTGGCACTCCAGACTGTTAAAGGCTCTGCTCTGGGTGCAACTCTGGGGTGCCAAAGGCTCCACTCCGGTGCCACCATTGCCCCCTCCCATGGGTGCTGGTCCCAGGGGCATGGGGGGGGGGGGCTAGAGGAGGGGTTGAGGTGCAGGGATGGGGATGGAAGCAATAGGAGAGCGAGGTGTGGGGATCCCTGGAGGGGTCAGGGTCCTTCCAACGCTGTTCCATATCTCTGTGACCAAGGCAATACTACTCCTGTCCGTCTGTCCTGTGCGCATGCCTGTCCAATGTGTAGAGTTCCAATAAAGTCATCCATGAGCTGAGTCAGCTCCCCTACCCCTCCTGCCTCCTGCTTCCTTGCCTCTGGCTCTCCATGGAGAACGAGACCTGTATTTTGTGGGGAAAAAAGGAGTTTTTGGAGCTGTGTTTTTGGGTTTGCATTGTTGAATTCATGAACAGGGGCTGGGGGTGAGGTTTAAAGTTATCAGGTTTTTGGTTGTTAATTGCTGCCCCGAGATGTGCAGGGTGTCTCTGTTTCAGCCTGCACGGCTGAAGAACGAGTCAGAGCTCTTCACTTTTCTGTCTTGAAGTTGTTTATTAATTCTTATCTATAAAATTTTCTTTCTTCCCAGCCGAGATCTGCTCAGCAGGGCAGCCACAGGCACTCTGTGTTGTCCTTTTATACTACAAACTACGTGTAACATATTTACACTTAATTCCCAATACCTATCACCTATGTTAGACAGTGCACTTCTACTCTAAACCAATCCCAGAGTGCCAACATCACTGCAGAAAATGGAGACCAAGAAGAAGGAAAAAGGCTGGACACTCCCAGATTCTTCCATTTTTGTCCCCAAAACCCCCATACCAAAAATCCTAAAATCTACATTTTCACCCTGTGATCATTTTGTTATTACATCATTCAAACCTCTGTGACTTTCAGGTCCTCATACAAAGTTGGCAATTTGCTCCAGGGGTCATAATCAAATCCCCAGGTGCTCTGGGCTGTGTGCCAGGGTCTCAGAGCCCCACAGTGGGGTCCTGGAAACTACGGACACCCAGAGGGATGCACTGAGTTCTGACATAAAGTAAAATTCCACTGCCCTCTGCATGCCCACAGAGTCCTGTGCCAGCCCTGGGTGTTCCTGGAGGTCGGAATGGGAATTTTGGCCATGGCATTGCCTGGATCACCTTGAGGGAGGGGGGACAGCCCTGGCACTGTCATTGAGCAGAACCCACCATCAACCAGCTCAGGCCCTGGGCACCCTGGTACTGCAGTGGGAAGGAGGCAAAGGAGCCCTTGGGGAGCTCCAGTGCAGCTGCACAGAGCTGGGGGTGGGAGTGGAGACCCTCAGCTTCTCCAGCACCACCTGGCCCTGCCTGGGATTCTTCCTCCCTGCTCTGCTCTTGTGAGAGCCCATCTGGAATGCTGCATCCAGCTCTCGTGGATCATTCCCCATCATTAAAAGGATGTGGAAGTGTTGGAGTGGGTCCAGAAGAGGCCATGAGGTTGATAAAGGAACTGGAGCGCCTCTCCTATGGACACAGGGTGGGATTGACGGGGCTGTTCAGCCTGGAGAAGAGAAGGTTGTGTGGACACCTCAGAGAACCTTCCAGGACCTGAAGGGGCTACAGGGAAGAGAGAGGACGACTGTTCATCAGGAACTGGAGTGAGAAGACAACGGGGAGTGGCTTAAAGCCAAAAATGGGAAATTTAAGTTTGATTTTGGGAAGGAATTATTCCCTGTGAGGGTGGGCAGGCCCTGGCACAGGGTGCCCAGAGCAGCTGTGGCTGCCCCTGGATCCATGGCAGTGACCAAGACCAGGCTGGACGGGGCTTGGAGCAACCTGGGACAGTGGAAGTGTCCCTGTCATGGCAGGGGAGGGACTGGATGGGCTTTAAGCTCCCTTGCCACCCAAACCAGTCTGGGATTCTGGGATTCCATGTTGTGGCTGAGCTCATTGTTTTCCCACACGGTTTGGAGGGGAGCCCACACTGGAAAGCCCAGGGCAGAATCATCCCCATGACATCCCTGTGACATCCCTGTGACACCCCTGGCTGGGGGAAGGCCCTACAGGCTGCCCCCAGCTCTGTCCAGCAGGGAGGCCACACCAGCACTGCTGGGGCCACCCTTGGTCTCAGAGGGGGCACCAGGATGGTCCTGCTGAGCTCTGTGGGCCACCCTGCCCTATCCCTGACTCCAGGGTTCATCTTTCACACCCTTTTGGTGGCTGTACTCTCCCAGAGCCCTTGGAGAACTGCAGGGACCTGGCACAACCATGGGTGATCCAAATCACTGCTGCCAGGAGCTCCGGGGTGCAGCTGAGACCTCCTCTGGAGATCTGACATCTCTTTTGGGGCTCCACCTTTGACAACAACACGAGCTCCTTTATTTGGGAGTGGTGGCGTGGGAAGAGGCTGGCATGGGTAAAACCAGCGAGGGAACTGAAGAGCAGCCCTGAGACTGGAAAGAAAACATTCCCAAATGGAGTGATCGGTGGCAGAGGGCCAAAGAGCAATTACAGAGAGAGGAGAGAGCCTTTCCAGAGGAGGCTTCGCTTCCTGCTGGGCTGCAGAGCCCTGGGGAGAGCCCTGTGGTGCTGCCAGCTGTGGCAGGGATGGATCACAGGGACCCTGCTGGGGGCCAGGGCTGCCTGAGAGGGGGTGCTGGTTGGGGTAACATGCCCTGCATGCCCCGAGTCCTGTCAGGGATTGTCTTGGTTTGGAAAGACAGGAGTCTGCTAAGGAAGGCAGGAGCCTCCCCTGAAATGAAAAATGGAAACCCTCCCCACCCCTCTGAATTGCTATAAATTTTAAATTAAGGGGCTCTCAGATAAAAATATGGGAACAGAAATAACAGTTCTTTAGTAGGGAAGAAAATAAAAAGATAAAATAAACAATGCAGTGAACTAAAGCAACACTGCCAGAGTCAGAGCCCAACCTGACACCCTGTGGGTCAGGCTGTTGGCAGCAGCCCCACTGGAATTGTGGCTCAGCCCTCCTGCAGTGTCAGGGCTGGTTCTGCTGGAGCAGGGATCCTGGAGAAAGGTGCAGTCTCTGCCTCTGAAGATCCAGGGGAAGAAGAGGCAGCTGCTGTTCCTCTGGGCAATCCAGTGGAGAAGCTGTGCTGATGTTCCAGAACCTCCAGATTATATCCGGGTAGGAATGCTTGGCTCCTCCCTCTGGGCTCCCATCTCCCAATGGGATGCTGTAGTTCTTATCAGCCATGCAGTGACATTCAATAGCCTATTATCAGTAGATAATAATATTATAATAATAATTATCTGCTGATATAATAATAATAATTATCCCTCCTGCAGGGAGGAGGGGTTGTGGAAGAGATAAGGAAAGCTGCCCACTGAACAGAAGACAAAAACAGAATCCATCTTGCCTTGCAATCTGGGACAAGAGCAACAGTTCTTGGAGGGAGCAGAAATCCCAAAGGGGAGCAGGAATGTTGGTTTATCAGAGGATTCCAAACCTTTTCTGGACCCAGCCATCCTCCCCCTCACTGGGCAGAGCTCCTGGCACTGATGATCCTCACTGGTCCCAGGCATGCCCAGCCCAGGCTGGCAGGGTTTGGGGTTCTGTCAGTGCCACTGCTTGTTTGGAGCTGCAAGACTTGGATTGCAGCGCTTCTGGCACGACTGTGCTGCTGGCCCGGGTCCCTTGGCTCTCCATCCCTCTAGGTATGAGCCCAGCCAAGTGGGAGAAGGGAGACAAGGGGGAGGACAGAGCCTGGCACGCCCTGACACCAGCCCCTTTCTCTTCCCAAAGAAAAATCACC